CTGGTTGGTATTTCTCAGTTGGTTGAGTGTCGTCCCGTGGAACAAGAGGTCGCAGGTTTGATTCCCGGTCAGAGAACATGCCCGGGTAGTAGGCAGCTTGCAGGAGGCAATCCATGGACATTTCTCTCTCATTGATGCTTCTATCTCCCTCTCCCTTCATCTCGCTCAAAAATCAATAAAAACATTTTAAAAAATGAAATTGTGGTGATGTTCTGTGAAAGAAGCAATCAAGGAGCTGAGGTGGTGATAGTGGAGAGGAGCCACCGCACGTGGGCAGTGAGAGGGGTTCTGAAGAGGTGACATCAAGAGCTGGGAGCAGCTGGAGAGGAGAGTCATGGGCAGAGAGAATGGCTTATGCAAAGCCCAGAGCAGGAAAGAGGTCAGAATCCTCTGGAATAGAAGGAAGAGAGGTAGGGGCCAGCAGGGTCAGGTAGGAGATGAGTTTGGAGAGACAGTGATCAGATGACACAGGCTCATGTAGGGCACGGTAGGACTTTGGGTTTAAGCTGAGTGACACACCTGCTGCTGCATTGAGAGTAGAGTGGATGGAGCAAGTGCTCCAAGGATGAGGCTGGTGTGTGTGTCTCCTGACACTGGCTGTGCCACCTCAGGCACGGTGCTTAACCTTTCTGGGCTTCACTGTTGCCCACGCATGGGGGTAACGGGAGGCAGATTGTGTTCACTCTCAGGACAAACTCTAACTAGATGGAACAGACAATCTTAAGAGGTAGTGAGCTCCCCATCATTGCAAACATTTGAACCAAGGCTGGCTCCACCATGAAAGCACTTGGGCACCAGAGGATTGGGTAGAATGGCCTTTCTGGTTGCTGACCCTGACCTTCTGTGGACTACAATTCTGGTCTCATTTTTGTCCTTGTCTTGCTGGGTGACCTCAGGCTGGTTACTTCCCCTCTCTGAGCCTCAGTTTCCAAATGATGACAGAAATAGGCTGATGATCACTATAGATTCCCCACCAGCAAATTCTCTAATTTGTCTGTTCTCAGTCTTCACCTTACCCCCCACTCACAAAGGCCATTGTCTTGGCAGCTGGAGACACCATGACAGCCTGGTCTTGGTCTTGGCAGAAGGTCCTCCCGTAGCCACACATTTCAATCCCAGCATCCTGGGTGGCCTTTGGGGTGGAAGTCTCTCTGCTCATCGCAGACAGGGGTTATTTTCTTTGGCGTCTCCTCAGATAGCCCCGGAAACAGGACTTGCTTCCATGTCCAGCCTCCCATTCTGTAGCTACCAATATAAGGGCCACCACCACCCAGAAGAATCCCAGGAGACCGTGCAGGAGAACAAGGATTCGCGATCATCCTCCTCCAAACCCGTGAGTGGTGGGTTTGCCTCTGACCACACCCCACAGGGAGGTCTTCAGAAGGCTTTGGGGGCTAGAGACAGAGGACTAGGACAGCTTGGATTAGCTAATATGTTGAATATAGCAAATTCAGAGAGAGAGAGAGAGAGAGATAGATAGATAGATAGATAGATAGATAGATAGATAGATGATA